TTTCTGCGAAGTTTCCGTGCTTTAACGTATACAAATATAATAACTTGACGGAAAGAATGAAAAGAAATGTCTGAAAAAGTGATTTTTCACCCCACTTCAACTTGAGGGATACTTGGTCATAATGGCATCGGTCAGAATCCGTCAGAATTAGTGTTTAACTACTACTAGTATTCTCAAATGTATCGGTCAGATTCAATGTTTTCTGGGTCATTTTTTATACCTATTCTGAGTTTCATGCAATGTCGCTCTTGTGGACAATTTTCTAGAGGGACTCGAACACACCAAGAAGGTTTTTTTAACCTCCTTGAACACACAGAGACGCAGACTTGGGGAACAAGCCCGGCCGATGACATTTGCTTGGATACAACACGTGTTGAAGTATGAACATGAACAGAAGCACGCACGTATTGAAAAAGGAATAAAAACGTACTTATGGTAAACATTGCACCTGCCTATAGATGTCTGAAGTACCCGGAGAACATCAAGGAGGTTATACGTTATCATATGACGTTAGTAGATGATGCTTTAAGCTCAGGTGGGGTTTCGGGTAAAAGACCAACTCCAAGCCCGGTGTCACATCAACACACTTACAGAACCAGATATGCTACTCGGAACACCTTCAAACTAGACAAACCCAAAACAAACAGCACTTAAAAAGCCTTCACATACAGAACTACTGCAGCATATATGGAACTCTCTACCACATGGGTTGCAAACAGTGTCATCACATGAGAAGTTCAAAGACACAAGGCTTGCTAAAGCACATGAGGGACATGGATATGTAAAGCACATACGATGTTACACGTTTGTTTTCTTTTAAATTCCAATGTAATGTAAATGTATATGTAATTGTACGCGATGTATTGTTATGTCTTACATGTATGTTACCCTCTCTCTCCTGTAAGAATAGCTGCCACCCTTGGGTGGTCAGCTAAAGGAGAGTTTTTCCTCAAAAAAACTCAATAAACCTCCGTGCCCCTTTCAAACGTCACGATTTAGGGGGAGGAGGTATAAGTGGACAACTATAAAACGTTGCAATCTTTCATACCAAAGACGTACGTGTGCGCACAATAAACCTTACATCTGCTTGAAAGTGTTGTACATGTCAAGCACGTGCAGCATCCCCGCCCGTGCGACTTCCGGTCCTGCGCACTAACCACAGTCTCCAACATGGCGGACAAAACAAGTAAAACGGCGGCGGTGACGGGCGACATGAAACCCGTCCCCATGAAACTGTTTTCCTCCTGGGAGGTCGAGAGAACGGCGCCCAACTGCATCCCAAGGTACGTACCCATCCTCCCGCGAAGGTTCTGAGAGAATTCCTTCAGTTGTGTGGTCAGTATTTAACCGCCAAGGTCAAAGTGGGGTGAGCCCTTCTTCTGTTGTGTTTTTTTTTTGGCCGGGGCGAAGTGAATGAAGTCCCGAGAGCTGCCCGGTTCTTTTAACCGCCCGCTGAAGTAATAAAGATTGTCCTTTTTTTTTACATCAATTTCAACATTTAACAGCTCAGATACGATTGTTTACCTAATTTGATCAGAGATGAGCTTCTCGCATTATAGAAAGAAAATTATGATATTTTAATAAATGTTATGATGTTGTTTTTCGACATGTCCAATAATACGATACATGCAGTTCTTATTGTTATTTTGTTAGAAATGATGGCATTTCATTTCCACAGTCTGTTTCTTTTTATACTTTTATGATCATGAATTTTAATAATTCCATATTTACCAAACCACTGACTGTTTACCTGTCACTTTTAAAATCAGGAATATTTGACAATAATAGTTATTTAATAGTCTCTATGAGTCAAACATGAACATTTTTGACAATGAACTTGAAAAATGATATAGCCATAGGTTCAGCAATTTTGACAGTATTTTCTGTGAGATGATACATGTTCTTGTTGAAAATAATAAGAACTCCAATTTCTGTTTCCAATTGTACTAATACATTTATGATTCATAATTCCAAAACATAGAAGTTTTTTCAGTCAGCAAACTTGCAATTTCTTAATTTTTTTGAGATGTCGTAAATTTTTTAGCAGGATGCAGGTGGGTATTTTGAGCCCTGTTTATTAATTTTATGATTTTATAGGACTTATGCACTAAATCGAATCCCTTGTACCTGCCTATGAACATGTGTATTTCTTACATGTTTAATTTAAATCATGTTATTGTTAAAGATAAGCATAATGAATGACCCAAAGGAAGCGTCTCACCATATTTCGAGGTCCCTTCCAGTTCCAACTGGTTCCCCCACATGCCTGGCATACCACAGGAATGCCCCCACTCTCCCCCCAGACAGTTGTGTTATGGCCACCCTTGTTTCTCTTTCTGGTGTTGTATGTGTGTTTTCATTTGTCGAAAGGTCAAGTGAGATGGTTTCCCTGTGTGGGGTGGTATGGCAGTACCATATGGCCCTGGGCATTTGGCATTGAACTTACTCAATAGTATACTGTGTGAATGTTATAATTGGTGTTTTAACATTAACTGTTACATCTCTGGTATAAATGAGATACTTTTTTCTCCATAACTTTATTCAGGTGCAGGCAACATTCTAAGTTCTAATTGCATCATGCAAAATTTTTACCCACACTACATTACATTACTTTCAGTCTATCAAAACAGTGTTAAAAGTGTTTCTGACTTGAGTTGTACCTATTAAAATCTGTTAAATACATGCAAAAAAAATCAACAAGCTATGACATTAGTGCCCCTTTAATTTTCTCATGTTTTATCTTTTTTTAAATCTATTTGGAAATTTTCCTCTCATTTATTACAAGGAATAATCAATAATAATGCTATTTTAAGGTTGCCATGAATGATTACATATAAAGGGATGAGGGTGCCAAAAGTGAATAAAAATGAGCACTGATATATTAATGAAACTACATTTGAGCAATACACAACACATGAACATTACAGTTGGCATTCAGTTGTCCTATATGTATATATAAGTATGGGATTTAGATCTCATTCAGATGGAGATTAAATGTTTATTTATGAGCTAAGAGTGTATTATGGTTGTTTCTTATGTGACAAAAGACCCAAGAAGCCTATGACAAAAACAGAATATAGGTTATCTTAACTTTACAAAGCTTCCTTGCAAAAAGAGGGATTTTACCATTTGCTAAGGATTATCTATTAAAGTTGTTGCCTTTCCAGCGTGTATA